TGTGTAAATCAAAAGAAAAAATGAGCAATTTTCAGGAAAATTTATTATTTTTAAATGGATAGACCCTAGAAATTCAAGTACCCAAATAGAAAATAAAGGGAACATCTATTTGGATTTATTGACGGCACAAATCAGTATGTTAAGCAAACTATTGAAGAAAATGGAAACGTAACAGACCTTCTCTTCTTCTTTTTTCCTTCTTTAACAACCTCTTTTCTTCCGTCTTGGCATCCTCCAGTGGCAGGTGTGGTGGCGGCGGCGGCGGTCTCTTCCTTCTTGGAACCCTCCAGTGGCTGCGGTGGTTGGCGAAACTGGGGAGTATAAATCAACGCTTCTCTCCATCTATTTCTAACTAAAACCCATAGGTTTGTTTAAGCATTAGGCGGATTGTGACTGATATGGCCAGATTTTTCTCACGAGGCCCCAAAAAAATTGAGGCCCTAGGCGATGGCCTTGTTGGCCTTATGACAGGGCCGGCCCTGCTCTTTCACCACAGACGACAGCACTGGATTGTTGTAGTCTTGTGGACTTCGTCGGCGCTAGAAAGTAGAAAGGCGGTGGGCGACGATGCTATTGATTTGAAATCAGAGAAAAGAGATACACAGTGAGAGAGTTAAGGAGTTAGCGTTAAGGGGAGAAGATCAACTGTTAAGGGGAATGATAGATATTTTTCTTCTTTAGGAAACGTGTTCTTGGGTTTTGGTAGGTATTTTTTATTCTTCAACCTGACATTAGATTGTACAATCTCTTCACTAGTCAATTCTCATTTAATTGGGACCTGTAGGGCATTTCAAATTACCTAAAGGGGCAAATATGTGAAAAAAATAACATTTTTGTAATGTAAAAAAAAAAAAGTGACATTTTTGTAAATACAAAGCCAAAACTTGACTATTTTGATAATTTCCTCTACAAAATATTTAGAAATGTACCATCACGCGGACCTGTGTTACTGTAGGGGTTGTGTCAATATAGTGTAATATTTTGTGATGAAATAATGTTATTTAATAAATAATTTTTAGTTTTATTTATTGCATTATTTGAATATTGAGCATGCGAATTAAAAAGCTTGTGATCATTTTGGAATAATATAAGCTGGGTGACTGCATTGACAAGTGCAATGTGATACAACTCATATTTTGTTGATAAATAATTTGTTAAATCAATGTATAAGAGTTGATACTTTGTATTGAATGGTTGTAGCTTGTATAATATATTTGATTGGGTTTCTGTTATCGTTCTATAAAGTATTATGACTATTTTATAACTAGTCCGACCAAACTCTTTTCGATTTACTGTCACTTAAATGGATTATTTATTTTCATATGCTGATAAGTCTTTTATGCCTTTGGATTCCATGATTCAGGAGAGCAAACATTTGTTGATTGAAATGAAATAACACTAATTTGTGAAAATAATTTAAATAGTTG